GTAATATTAACATCTCTTTTTTAGAAAATTGTAAAAAATGCATCAATGAAAGCATCGTAAAAGAGGAGTTTAAAATTGGATTTAATTAAAAGCGGAAATATTTCCGTGAAAACTTTCGATTCATCAGACTGTAAACTACAGTCGGCGCGAGTTGTGCATTCTTCCCGCAAGTATTTCACGATTCTCTCCAATATTAAACGTAACACTCGAGTATGCACGTCGAAGGGGGTAATTTCAGACGCCATTCGGCGGATATTGCATTCGACGAGCGGTGGAGCGGCCGAAGGAAGGACGGTGAGGAGGCGAGGAGTAGCCGATGTAGAACGACATGAATTTTCCACGCGGAAATTTCCGCGGAAACCGGAACGCGATGCGGAACGATCGCGCGGATACGCCCTGGACACCTGAGTCTCATCGCGCTTCTACGTCGGTGCATAATACTGCGAGTGCATCGTTAAGTCGGATATGTATGCGTGAGATATTGCGATATTCTTGTAACGGAAGACACTGACCGATCTTTGTTAATCGTGGGGAAATTTATTTGTTTAACAGGCATCGTAAATCGCGTTCCAGAACTATTTGCATAGCGATTTCAGATAGTGTAATCTGAAATTTAAACATCTATGAATTTTACATACATGTATATTTAATAGTCCCCACATTTTAATAGTCCTGAAGAAAATTAATTTTCGATTATTAATATTAATATTAATAATAAAATAGAAATAAATAATAATTACTATAAATAATAATTACGTTTGCATAATAATTTCCTTAATAAATAAATATAAATAAAAATTATAAATAATAATTATTATAAATAATAATTACGTTTGCGTAATAATTTTGCAAAATATTTTATCTTAAAATTTCGTTTTTATTCGTGTCAAATCTCGTCGGATGATAAAATACAATAATTCTACCGATCCAATCGACGCAATACAGTTGGCGGGGACAATTGAGTAATGCATCGGAGATTTTAATCGGGACAGAAATGTACGGATTACCTGACCAAAACATGTGATTGGTTTAATATGTGCAAATTGCGCGCGAGTTACACGCGGCGTCGATGGCTACTCTATTGTGCATACATACGTCTATAAATACACCAGGTCGTCCTATCGAATCCAATCACCCCGACATCGCACGACTGTGCATTGCACGAACGAGCGAGCGAGGAAGCGAACCTAAACCTACCCCGCCCAACCCTTCCGTGTTTCGTGCAAAAGCAATAGCCGCGCACATGTGCGTGCTAATTCAGTCACGAACGCGACCCCCTCAAGGGCACCACTCGAGGATGATTTGCGGGATCTGTCGTCAGTATCTCGATTCGTGTACGTTTCGCGAATTTGTCGCGAATCATTTTGCGAAAAAGATTTTATAAATTAACTCACTTTTTTCTCCTCTTATTTCTATTCCTTGTAACGGATGTGTGATTTGAACAAGTGTTTAAACTACATGTTTCGATAGAAATAGCGTCAATTTTTGCTCGCGGCTGACCGGACGCGATTCCAGGGGGGTCAAATAACGAGCTCGATGAAGTGTGAAAAGTGAATTGGTCACGAACCGAGATCGGTATCTCGAATGATGCGGGCAAGAACGAGTTTTTGCTTCGCGGAAATAAATTGCTTTCGCGTGGCAATTTATGAATATGTTTCGATACACTTCATCGTTTTTTGTCGATTTGTTAATTAAATTTTTTTCCGTCACGGTTATCTCGACGAACAATCGGATCTATGAGATCAATTTGCTTAATCCTTAGAATTCGAGGAAATTAAACTTCAAAGTACAATTTGTAAAGGGGAGACTCGAAAAATTATTTATTTAAAATTAAAAATAAGTTAAATAAATTTTTTTACACATTCTATTAATTATTACATTTAGTAAATTATTAAAAAATAAAAGAAATAAATGAAATATATAAATAAAATAAATGGAATTGGTATTTTTTAATAAGAAAATAATTAATAATAATAAATAGATATATAATAAATTAAAAAATTAAAAATGAAATCTATAGTTAAAAGATACTAAGACAATCAAACTCATTATATTTATTATAATTCGTGCTACAACATTCCATAATTTTTTATATGCGTATCTAATGCAGGCTTGCTTGTTAAGCTAATAATCATTAATTTTGTTAATTTTTTTTTTAGAAATTAAGAGAATAAATTATAAGAAATCTGAAGGCTGCGAGATAATTGTTAGTTGAATAAAAATACTTTCTTCACGTGCCAATGGCATTTTAGCTAAACGTAATTTTCTCTAATCAACGTGGCAATCGGTAACTTTTTCAACTTTACGTCACGTAAAAAGCGATGTTTAGAGCAGGTTGCTTAGGGAAAATAATCGGCATCTTTTCACGCAAGCTCACTTCATTCGCTTTTTCATCCCTCTTATTACCTCTTATTTCTTGCACCAACGCGAATCGCCACTGCATTGCGTGGCAATGCACGTCGCAATGTTGAATATTCAACGAAACGTATGTCCGCAGGTCTAGTAAGTAAAGTAAATTCCCTCTGAAATGCACTTAGCCCCAAAAGCATTGTGTAATTTATTTCGATCACGATATCGCGATATCGCGATATCGCGACCGAGAGCGTATTTATCACAGTACTCATTACGAGTACCATAATACTTGAGTCGAACATTCGCGATGGTGCATATAAAAGTATAATCCACGCCGAGCATATTGCGTATTTAATCAATCTGAATGCTTTAATGCCGTCTTATTGAACTGGCGAGCTTGACGGCAATGTAAATAATCTGAACGCAATTTTTCGAGCATAATGAATAATATCAATTTCGATGAATGCGCACGTCTACAGGGTATATTAAAAATCCATATTAGAAATCCATAATTATCGTGAACGATACATTTGATAATCGCGAGTATAAACAGCCGGCGAATCCATCTATTAATAATACGGGGAGAGACATTTATAAGCAACGCGATCAATGATGGCGTCGTCCACAATGACTTATTTTTGCTGTCGACCCTTTGCGGGTTTAAGAAAGATGATGAAGAAATTCTTTCAGAAAGCAGGATAAAAATGACGCTATAATTATACCGTTGTCAACGTTGCCAAGGAGAGTTTGGCAATATATAAAACACAAAGAAACCTGCAATTTTGCGTAAATAAGAGGATTTTAATCCAAACTTAATGAGTGTCTGTTCTCTCTTTTTTGTTGCAATTAAACGTTTTAATGAATAAAAGACGGTTTTTTCACGATTTTTTAATATTAATTTCGAAATTGAATTAATTACATTTAAATTTAACTAACAACAGTTTAATTACATTAATTCATTATTACACTATATTTATTATATATTTTGTAATGATTACAATAATAGATTCTCTCTCTTTTACTCTCATATGTGAATTAAATATTGAAAATTTCTTATCGTTATTTATTTCAGATTTTACCTTTTTTGAAGATTTTAGACAATTTCAAGACATCGCATTTTTTTATTTATATCAGCTGTTTATTGTTATGATATTTTGTAAACAGTTACTCTCTTCGTATATATTTATTTATTTAACTTTCATTAAATGTATTTAGATTCACATATTTTTTTAAAAAGACAATCTATAAATTCTAAATTTATTGAAAAATTAGAATCATTTAAATATGTGATATCTTCTTCAATTATTATTATTTAAATTAGGAGACCATACAGATTATTTAAAATCACTGATTTTTATTATCCTTATGAAGAATGGAAAGTAAAAATTTATGAGATACTATATTATTACCAATTTTTATTCCACATAGAATCTTCATATATATTGCGCCAGAGAACCTTTTTTTTTTTAGATTTTATGGAAATGCAACTATCGAATATATTTCATCCCAAGCGGTAGGATACCAGAGGGGATCGAATTCAATTTCCCGTGACGTTCAACGTGACTGTGTCACGCGAGTATTCAAAATTTACTGTGCACACACGGACAGTCGAACAGAATGGGATCGAAACTGTTCAAGTTACATTTGTAGCGTTTATGCGTGCCACGTGTGCCACATAAACTCAACATTCAGTCCAATAAACGCGACTCGGAACGTTAATGTACACATTCCGAAGCGAGAAAGCGAAACTGTGTTGTTTGTGTGTATGTGAATAAAGTTGTAAAAACCGGCAGATTCGTCGAGTTTGTTGCAAAACACAATATCCAAATGTATACATAACACAAATCGTATATCTTTCAAATTATCAAAGCCAAGTCTTTTTAAGAAAAGTTCCGAATCGATTTTGATTAAAGTAAAGTTGTTGACAATATTGTGTTTTGTGTGTATTTGCAAATATTGTATTTTGCGTGTATTTGCAAATATTAATTTTTGCGAAAATTTTATTTTATATAAAGTTAATATAAAGCTTTGAATTTCTTTTAATGTTATTAATCGACATATTTTATGATTTATGCTACTTGAATGATTCATTGAGAAGGCGAGCTGAAAAGTTTAATTAAAAAAGACAGTCTTTTCTTTTTCATTAGAATATTCATATAGTTAATATATTTCCAATATTAACGAAGACCTTTTTCTTCCTTATGTTTTTACCGTATAAAAAAATATCATTGATCCTTGCTTTTCAAGCTTATTCTCTCGTCGAAAGATCGAGGTGCGCTCCATTAAGTAACAAATAAACCAGCTATTTTGTAACTATATAGTTTGCAGATATTAAAGATCTTACAAGCTATTTGTAGTGCATCTAAACTTTTTGTAAGATGTATAAAGAAAAACGCATGTGTGTGTTTTAGCAAAACAAAATAATATTCCTCAATAAAAATGACTGTATACACATCATTATTTTTAAATATTAAAAAAAAACTCAAGTTATTTGTTTCAAATCAAAATTTTCTAAATCAGGATTTCACAGAGATAAAATTCATTTGTGATCAAATATAAAAAAGGGCTTTTTTATATTTCTAAATGTTTGGAATTTATCGAATAGCCCTCTCTCAGAATCGGCACAAAAGATCGAAAATTATTCATACCTTAATATTTTTTGAAAGAAAAGTTGTTTTTCGCAGGTCCTGTCACACATAAGGAACATTGTCCGCACCACATAAGCCATCAAACATTTCTCATCCTGCTAAGGATCCCCCAGGAGGATAGCTCGCTCTCTCGGCGAATCACTCGATTACGTTCACGTGGCACGTGCTTGCACGAGTAGCGAAGTACGAAGCGTCTCTTCGTCCTGGAAAAAGGACGAGAAGGAAGGCGTCGCGTGTCGGCGTCTGCCAACTTACACATATGTGTAACATGCATACGGCCGTATTAGTTATTAACGCGACCGCGAGCGGCCTTTTTTCCCATCCACACGAGGGTGTGCTCACGCAGCACGTCACGGGGATCGATCCTCGGCCACGAGGTCGAGGGCTGAAAAGTGTTACGAGAGAGAGGGGGGGGGGAGGTTGTGCACAGGCTCTGCCTTCTTCTTGACCGAGGCAGAGCCGAGGAACCGCCCTTAACCCTATCAAATTTTTAGTCAACCGCATCAGCAGTTTTCCCAAAGATATCGTGATGGTGAACGAGAACGATAACGGAGACAATAAGCATTTCTTGAACGGTTAAAATACATCAGGTAGAAGGTCAGAATTTGAGATATTAAACGAACTTAAATTGTCCCTCGAACATTCTTGAGACTTTCTTCGGTTTGTTTTAACTCATTTCTGAGCTTTCGATGAGCTTGCGATATGATGCAAGTATTATGTCTTGAGGAAGTAGAATGATTCCATCTTTTAGAATAAATTATTAGCAACGTGATGCAATGCCTTTTAAGGGAACAATCCCTTAGTTTTGAATCTCGATGCTAAGATTAACGGGAATTATTTATAATAATAAACTGGACGATGTCACAATGTTTTGGATCGTCATTTTTAATAATTTCCCGATAATCATTTAATTTTAATAATTAAAGTTTTTTGGAGATACTAATTTTAAACTTCAATTCATCTCAATGTTAAAGACTTATTAATCAACTCTATTGCTTTTCATTGCTTTTGCCAAATTTAAATACGCCAATCGTATCCTTCAAGTTCGTTGAAAGAGACGCAGCAGATACCCTGCTCCGATTAGCTCGATATTTCTAAAGCTGGTATGTCGCGATCTTACTTTCTAGAGGCGATTGTTGCCAGTGGCAATATTTTTCAAGGCAACACTTGATGCTACCCCACAATCTCCAAGCCAATTACCACATAAGCTCGACTACTGCTATATTTTTAGAATCGGAACATCTCGGCGAAAGCTTCTAACCACGGAGAAAAACAACTTTAACGAAACATAGTAATATAACTTGATTTGTAATTAATTAACCGACTGTGCTCGAACGCAAATATTGCGATGTCTAATTTAATATTGTGAACACTTTAAACATACCATCTCCAGCGTTAATATTACCTCCTGTAAGTTTATATCAGAGATAATATTTTTCAAGACAATAGGATTGCCGCTCGTGACCCGTGCGTTAATATAATCATTCACGAAATCGATATAATCTTGTATAATAATTGACGAAATCCCGTTCCCGCGAAAGGATAAGCGACGCGAAAGCAGCGCTCGCGATTTAAAGAGAAAAAGAGGGAGAATAACGTACAACGCACGGTATTGCCATTTCGTTTTGTTTGCTCGGCACGACATCTCCTTCTAGAGTCCCAAGTCGGCGGAAAGTAGCACGGGAGCTTTCAAAGATGGCTAATTCTACGCGTTGTCCATTCCTTCACGCGACATACGGAAGCTCGGAGAAGGTGGAGACAAAGATAGAGATAGATAGATAGATAGAAAGAGAGAGAGAGAGAGAAAGAGAGATAGATAGATAGATAGAGAGAGAGAGAAAGAGAGAGAAGGTGGACCGATCGAAGGCACTCACGTCTCTCATCTCGAGGCCGCGGCAACGCGCTCGCGTGCGAGCGTCGTCGTTCCAGCGAGTCCGGCACCAATGACTATGATGACGATGACGGCGACGACGACGGCGACAGGAAATGAACGCAATAGTGCGACGCGCGATGCACTACTTGCTGCTGCTGCTGCGGACGCGCACGTCGGTCGATGTGCCAGGCGCATCGCCCCAGCAACAACCACGGCACGAAGCTCACTACTGGCTCATCGCCGGGGGTTGCCTTCGAGTTCACCGGCTTGTCAGGGGGTAAAGAGGTGGAGAGGGCCGATGAGAAAGGGTAAGAGGTGAAGCGATGAACGTCGCGACGTCTGTCGGCGTTCGAGAAAATCACCCCCTGAGCAAGCGCGGGGTGTCGATGCTTGATTGGAGGGTGACCTCCTGGTGACGGGGGTGGGACTGTTGTTTCGATATTGGTGATTCTTTTAAAAGAAAGGCAGTCACATCGTTTAACACAATATTGTATCTTCAAATCTTTCGAAGTAAATTCTATTCTGTATATTTATCTATTACATTTCATTTTTTTATTGTTAAATTTTTTTGTAATTTCATATGTATATATTTGTTTCCCGTAATTGATTGTTTATGATATTATTATAAATTGTCTGAAAAATGATTATTTATTAGATTCTTTGATTCTAATATTTTTTTACAATTGTTTCAATATATTTTATATCTATTTTCTCATGTCATAAATTGATCCTTTTTAAATCTTTTTAATTATTTTATTATTAATTTATTATTAACTTATTTATCGAATAAATTATTTATCGCAGGAGAAATATTAATTTTTCACACAATTATTAATCAATATTATTAATTTGATGAGGCATTAATTTAATGAAACATTAAGATTAATTTAATGGAACATTAAGATCCTTTGCGAAAATAATGAGAGACGCGCGGATTTAATTTCAGATGTAATGGCCCGTTACGGTAAATTAGAACGGATACTTGGCAGACGTAGGGAACGCTCGTTACATATGGCGAGAAGGAATTCATTTTCGATATTAATTAAATCCGTTATCAGAATGCATATATCCAAATTCCTCCGTTTCATTACGTCTCTGACGTCGTCGGGTCGGCCTTGAACCACTTAGCAAAACCAATCGCACTGATAACAATCTCGGTATCTGGGTGGTGACTCTTTCCATGTTTAGACCAACACACATATCGAGAGAATGTTTGACGGAAATGAAGCAGTTTTGAATTATCTCTGGATAAAGATAGATTGCTCTAATTTAAATGTCGCGATCAGAATTTCGATCCAAAAGTTAAATACGATCATGATTTAATTATGTTTTACGTTAGATACAAAAATAATTACTTCATAAAATTACGAGTAGATTTTAATAAGAGTCAGAGATTTAAAAATATGAAAAAAAAATAAACTAAAACTATATAGAAATTAATTTGGATTAATCATTTTATTGGACAATTGTGTTTGTTTATAACACACACATTTTTAATTTTTCTAAGTTATTTGAATTTTACTTGAATTTTTTTCCGCTATTCTATTTTATAACGAAGTGGCTTCTGAAAAAAATTATAAGGCTTCCGAAAAAAGGCTTAAAATAAATCCTTCTTATCGGACTGTCACTTTACTCTAGCCTGATACTTTTCATTTTATTTCACTTAATCATGTTCTTGAATATCGTAAAGCTATAAGATCGGTACGATCTTCCAGGCTGAAGCTTTCGACACTTTTGAATAATCGTAGAACCAGTAGACGAAACCATTAATTTTGTTCAGCTCAGAGCCCTTTTATTGGCCTGTAATTTCGAACATTCTCACCTTGCGGGAGATCAACAGGTTTGCGTGTCGGATGTGCCGACACGCCGGAAGTCCACTCGTCGGTTACATGAAATCATTCCGCGCGATACCAATCAGCTTGATCTTTCCATAAGATAAAAGCCGCGAAAAGGATCTGAGCGAGAGAAACAGTCCTTTATTTCTCTTTTACATTACGATATTGACCTTTAATCCTCCCTCGAGCGATCTTGACACCTCCTTAAATGCGACTTTTCTTTTACCGCCATTTTTAGAATACATCTTCTCGTTTCTAATTAACATATTTGAAACTAAAGAGGGTGACTAAGATATAAACGGTATGGAAATGTGTGAAATTAATGAGAAAGGGAGAAAAGCTATCGGAAATTCCGTTCACGAGATCGTAAACGAGTTAACGGGTGATAAAAAGTGAAGGAGTAGAGGATAGAAATCGACGGGGCGTTGAATCACGGTAACTTTACGATCGAGAGGGGTTATCGAGGGGACGAAAGGTGATGAAAAAACGCACACAACGTGTAAAAGTGTAGGCCATCTATTCTCACTTTTGTCAGGTCGTACTACATACAGCTTCGTCCTGGCGATCTCACTCTCCTCTCTCCGTCTTTCGAGGAGTCGTCTACGTAAGAAATATACAGCTAATTAGACAAACATATATACGAACAAGAAGGGAAATAAGTACAAAAAAATTGCATAAGACTAACGTCTCGGGGAAACCTTATTCGAGCTAACAGATCGTCGGGATACTCGACCACGTTTGTATTTTTGCTCTTTCTCCTTTTCTTTCGGTTTTTTTTTTTTTCATTTTTTTGCGTATCTCGCGCAGCTTCGTAAAAAATGTATTAATGTGAAAAATTGCCCGGCCGATATGATGAAATGGAATGATTCTTGATTAACTGATTAACACACGGATTTCGATTCAAACGAAGGTCCACCAGCAAAAACCAGGCAAGTTTACTTTTTTCGATTATTTGAATCGTTCATTATTTAACGCTCGCTTCAATAATGGTGATAACGAACGAGATACAAAAAAGGTAATCCTGCTTCAAAATTTAATTGCCTTGTAATTATCAAATTTAAAATCAGTTGAAGAGAAATATAATTTCAGCATCCTGCGTATTTATTTATTTAATATTGAAATATTATTTTATTACCTATTTGATTTACTGTATCTTCATTACATATAATTATGTAAATCAATTGCTTTTTAAAACATCAATTGTTTTTTAAAACATTTAATTAAAGTAAAGTAAAGAATTTAAAAACATAAATTATAAGAGCCTCTACTTTAAACTTATAAAGCATATTAATTTTTGCTTTGTTTTGATTTATATACAAATATTTACAAAAACCATTTTTAATATAAATTTTTACGCAGAAAACATGTTTAAAATATATGCATATGTTACAATTTTTAATATATATTGATATTCTCGCTGATTTACGCTATAAATTCGTGCAAATTTAAAGAAATTAAATTAATAATGTTACAAAAATATAGATATAAATAAGATAATATATATAATAATATAAATTTTATTCTTCTATTATATAATTATATTTTTATTAAAATATTTCAAATTTTTCCAAGATTTTTCCAATGGAAAAAAATGAATATATCTGATTTCTACGACAGTATTTTATTTTAGTGAGTTAAAAAATATTTCTCGTACCGATGGAAAAATATAGACTTGCTTAACAAACTTTTATTTCTATTTCGTCGCCTCGGAATAAAATAAAACTTCTTTTCGTTCTTGTATATTTTTCCCGAACTTTTCAATAATGTAAAAAAAAAGTGGACTTGTCTGATCAGTGGCGGTCGACCCTCTCTATTTCGTCGCAGAAAGTCGAAAGAAAGAGATTCTCTTATCACAGAATTTTTTGCCTTTGCGAAATTCATCGGATAAATTCGCAAGAAGGACAAAAGGACAGAATACACGATGAGGGCAGTTCTCTAAAATCTCTCTCTCGCGGTTCCCCCCCTTTTTTTTTACTTTAATACACGAGAGAATAGCGATAATAATTGACAGGTTTCATATGAGAGCACACGAAGGCCCCCTTCTTGCTTGGTCGAGTTTACCGCGCGTTAAACAGCAGTTATAATTATTCATAAGGATCACAACGATCCGTCGACGGAAACGCTCGCGCCTGTCTCTTTTTAATTATCTATAATCTCGTTTTCGTTCGTGAAAAAACACACGTGTTGTATGTATAGTGTATGTACACGTACACACGCGCAAAGTTCCGTTGTAAGCGCCCGTTATTCTTATTACACAATTAACGCTAAAACGGTAATGCTGTCTTAAATAACGAAAACACCTTGTGCATTACTCTGACACAATTATTATTCCGTAACATATCGTCCAAACTAATTACTATGTCAGACAAATAACAGTCGCAAGAGTAAGAGACCATATTTTAATGTAAAATATGGTTTTTCAATAATAAACAAAAAGAGATAACAAAAAGTCCTAATTATTTAAATATAATAATGATTTTATAATATTAAATATCATGTTTATGTCAGATAAATATCACTCGGGATCGCATCGCGTAGTTAGCGCTAAATGTGGCTACTAATGAAGAATAAAAATGAAGCGATATTTTATAAATGTCCAATTATCTCTCGATGACCTTCCGTTATTTTTCAGTTGATTTTGATGAGACCAGTTAGACAAATAACGAGATCATAGAGAAATCGTGCTTAATATTATAAATACTTCGATAATAAACGTGACGTTAAAGCGGCAAGAATACGGGGCCCATGCTTGTGCGATGCATCATCGTGGCATCGATAAGAACCTCGCGTGTGTGACTCATGCTAAACGCGCGCTTAGAATAATGCTAGAGTAGATCCCGATTGCGCAATCATGCTCGCGTTGTGTCTGAGCGCGATACGAATGCGTGCGTCTACGCATTTCCGATCGTATAATATTGTACATCGGCGTCGCTCGATCATTTGCATCTCATCGGGAAGCGAAAGAGCCGAGCTGTCATGGTAAATCTTAATAAACAAAGTCTAAATAATGAGATTCTCACGCTTGGTTTCTCCTCAATTTCAATACACATTGAAAAGAGATCGAGGCAATCGTGACATCTTATGGTCATCGCTATTTTTCCCTATTATTAAAAATTTAAAGAGCGTATAAAAATTATTAATCATCATCGTTTTTAAATTACGATGGTGAATCAAGTGACTTAATAATTTGTATAACGATATGTGTTTCATTAATGATATATTCAATAATTAGTATTGTTAATATTACTAATCAACTATGATTGATATATTGATTAATAATAATAACTACTAATTAACATTACTGACAATTTTAATTGTAAGATGCTATTGACATTTTCTCTAATATTATAATCCTGAATATTAATAATATCATAATTAATATCGTTGCATTATAATTTAATGTTTGATTCGTTAATATCGCATTTATTTTCTATCACGATCACCTCGATCAATTTTACTTTTAGCTATCACTATGATCTCGCGTTCAAAATTCCAAAACTGTTCCCTGTTCGGCAGATTTCAAAGATCGTCTTTCGATCTTACGAATGTCTATGACTTTCAGGCAACAGTATTCACGATTATCGTTTATGATTGTGACCGCTGCTCTTGCTCCTGGGGCTGTCTGAGGTCGCGTCGTTGGACTCTCTCCTCGGTCTCAGTATGAAATTGAGATTGTGCGCGGTATTTACAGCATAGTAGACGTTGGCCGAGGTGGGTAGCACCATCTCCCGATCAGGTAGCACCTGCGCTAGAGTGTATTGATCGGGATTGCCCTCGATGCTGAGCTTCAGCATGGCGTTTCGGATCACCTGTGGCGTCCGCTCGTTATTTGACAGCATGATGGACTTGTAAAGCACCACACCCTCCGTCTCCACGTTGTCCGTCTCCATAGTGACCTTGATGATGTAGAAGTCCGGCGAACTTTTGTGCGAGTGGCTGGGACTGGACAGTCCAGCGAGATTGGGGGTGCTTCCATTAGCTGGCACGGCGCCTGCTGGAGGCGCCAGACGGGTTTGGTGGTTGCCACCCCCGCCGGAGCTCAAAGACACGTCGAGAGAAGGTAGAGACGAACTGGAGGACGAACTGGACATTTGCGATGGCGAGGTTCGCCGGTCCAACGAGTTGTGAGGCGAGCTCGGCAAAGAATCGAGGTCGCAGTAAAATTGGGAACTGCTGGAGCTCGATGTCGACGCGATTGAGTCATTTTTCCGATGACCCTGATGATTCTACAAGATAAAACAATTTAGTTCTCGTTTATTATAAGATCCTTGACAAATAAAGATAGGTAATAAATTATAATTAATTAAATATTTAAAACATATAGCTTAATTTAATTTCTTAAAGAGAAAATTCCGCACTTTGATCGACACGTGATTAAATTAAGCGATTTTGAGAAATTCATATGACAAGTATCATAGAAATCAAATTAAGATATTCGGTGAAATAAAAGGTGCTAACTTGTTTCTTTTTGCCGCGATTATTGAGAGTGTTGCCTGCTGGTGGTGACTCGATCTGACAACTGAGCTTGTAAGCTTCCCGATCGTCCAATACTAATACCGAGTGAAACCAACGATCGAACATGGAATCCGTGTTGAAATTGTATGCGTTTGCCGCTCCTTGTAAGAGTCGTATCCTTGCCAGCACCTCGAACTCTTTCCGTCTCTTATCGAAATTAATGAGACCGTCTGCTATCGTGTCCGGTATTGCCGTATCAATCATTGTTAGATCAGTCAGGAAGGTGCCTAGATACGGTATGGTACCGTAGCTAATGTTCTGAAAGAAAATTTTGAGGAATTAAAACATAGATATAGTGTAAAATTAAATATTATTTGCCTATCTAAATATCAGTTTTTATTTTATTTTATTTAGAAAATATTTTTAAACTGATATTAAACATAATTTAAATATATTATTTAATTTTCTGAATATTCTAAAATTAAATTCTAGAATTAAATTTCTAATTTTGTTGTAAAAGATATTAATTTAATTATCATCGATTCGATGAAGCTAAAATTAAAAATTTTTTAAGTAGAAAGAATTTTTAATTATATTACATTTATTAAATTTTATTTTATTAATTTAATTTTATTAATTTTTATTAAATTTTCATTCATAAAAAATCTCATAAAAGAGTAAAAAAAATTTAAAAGCAAGTAAATTAACATCACAAAGGGACTTTGTGACACTTACGCCCGCATGAGTATTTTGTTTCTGAAAAAGCTTCTGTAGATGCCTATCGCTCCTGCCGGCAGTGTCAGCGAACTTGGCAGTGCCCTCTTTGATGAGCAATTCCCTCTGTGTCCAGGCATTATTTTCCTCAGAGAATATCCTCTCGAGTTCCCGAAAGAGCTCGTGCTTCTCCCTAGGCATGCACTGCCAGCACTTTTCCAGCCGATACACTGGATTGCTTTGGAGACCGGAGACGATCGCCTTCAGGCTACTAAAGTTCTTCAGGATGCGTAGCTCCTGCGCAATATCGATCCACGTCTCGAGGATCCTGGCGCGCTCCTGCGACTTGAGCGTCGTGTCTGTCAGAATCGTCGAGATGACACGCAGAGATACGGCATTGAATTGATTTACAGTCGCCACCACTGTAGCAGCCTCGTGGCTCCTGGAACGATCCTTTCTGGACCAGACAGCGCCGAGGCATTGGTGGGCAACCAGCTTCTTGAATACCTCAGCATCCATTCGTGTCAGTTGCTCAGCAAAGTGACGGTGGGGTACCTCGGGGAAGATGTAGTTACCCCAATGATCCGACATTGGATCCGGGGAACCGCGCATGGGCAGCCGACCATTGTCGTACACCATGCAGGAATCTGAAGGGAGAACGAGAGAAAATTAAAATAAAATTAATCTAAATTTAATTTAAATTTAATTTAAATTTAATGAAAATTACTATTAAAAAATTATACAATAAAGTTTAATTCCATTTAATGTTTTTTAATTAAATTTATTTTAAAATTATTAATTGTTACAAAATCGTTATTTATTTAATTCAAAAAATTAATTTAAATTAATTTACAAGCTTCTTTTATTATTCAAGATTTTAATTATAGAATCACAGGTGAATTTTTTTAAATATGTAAATGTTTATGAATGATTTTTGTATATAAATTTATGTAATGAAAACTTTCTTTCGGAAAGATTTTTTTGGTGCACGTTTTCTTCTTTTTTGCTTTGAAATCCGTCTCTATTTTGGGAATTTTTGGAGCTAGATAGAATCAGATTACATAGGTTTCATGCGAATTCTGAGAGTGAAAGGCGAGCCCTGCTGGTCTCATGGCAGTACAAAGAGGACGATGGACCCTCAATTTATGTAGGAAGCAGATGCCTTTGTGCGAGCGCAAGCTGTTTGATTGGCCTTTCACTGCCACTAACATTCATTCTTTAACTCTTTCTATCAAGCATATTTATTCGATAGATTTATTCTTTCGTAACGCGACAAATACTACCGTTTAACATTCTTCTGCATTCTATAAATATATTCATAATAGTCTTTGCGACACCTGGTTATTTCCAGCGAATGTGTAGTAGAATAGTTTATCTATTAGCGACTGTTATATATTATATGTTATATATTATGTATTATATGCGTAGTAGAGTAGTTTATCTAGTGACTGTTATATATCTTTCCTGCATAATTTCGGAGAAAAAGTTGCATAATAGAAGGTTGTACGATCTTAAGCATTCATAATATACAATCTCTTTCCACGACGATACACCTGTAAAGTAACACTTTGACGGATGTTTTGCTCGCTTATCGCAATTCAGCGAATTCACGGTAAATAAAATGAGTCGCTATGAGTCATTACGTTACTATTGCATAAGCGGCACTTCTCAATTCTGTTGTCAGAATTTTTATTCGAGGTCATATATATGAGATGTACATGCTTTTAAATTTATTTAGATACAAGATAACGTGTTTCAAAGTGCCATTTCACACGTCATACACATACATACATACATACATATATATAAATATACATATATATCATTTATTTAAATATATATATATATTTTTTTAAATATATATATCATTTAAGTAAAAATTTACTATTTTAAATTCATGTTATAAATTAACAGGCTCATATTAAAATAAAATTATCTCCTCTAAAAATATTAATTATCTCCTTTTGTTTAAACACAAAAATAAAAGAATAAATCCGTGTTATATTACTTTGAATAAATATTAATATTGTAGAAGGAATTTTATGTGCAAATATAAATCTTTTTTACACAACATAACCGATAAGGTTCGTAACATCACAGAGATCGTGCCGCCCTTATCGGTTCTTCAATTCCTTCGTGTTTGAACTTCTCATAGTGCCTCTTATCAGTCTTTTCTCGTCTCTAAAACTCGTGACGTTTACGATTATCGAGAAAAAATTGAAAGTGCCATTACCTATCTGATCCTCGCGCTGAAAGCGATGCAGCCGGTGCCTGGCCTTAAGCTCGAGCTCAGAGCCGAGCAGTCGTCGATGGGTGAAGTCGAGGAGCATGGTGAGGAGAGGGTAGTTCGGGGGTGACTTCCAGTCACCCGGATATGCGTCCAGCCAAACGTGCAGGGCCTGGACCAGGGTCTTGCGATGCTGCTCGCAGCCGCCCGAGTTTTCGTCCAAGGCGTCGTATCGTGCGAGTAGCAGCTCGAGGACCTCGTGCGGCGTCGTGAAGGCCCGATAAGTCGCCAGGAAGACGTTTATATAAGTAGACTCCAACTCGCCATCGTCGTTTGCCAGACTCTCGACCAGCCGCTGCACCGTACCGGCTTTCAGAAAGCGCACCCTCACCGTCTCCCATTCCAAGTGCGAGATCTCGTCGTCAGAATCCTACATCGGAGTAAGCAGTTTGAATGCCGAAGCTTTTTAACGGTTTTCAGCGTTGAAAAAATATACATTTTTGCGCCAAAAATTCTTCAGATGAAGACATGATTGAGTTTCATTTATGAAAATCATTGAGATTTTTATTTTTAGGAAATTAATCAGAGTTAAAAAATCGCGGGAAATGTGTGCTTTTTTGCGATAAGAAATTAAATAAAAACAGAAATTTTTTGAGATAAAAATATACGAAAAGCGCTCACCGATGCCGAGAGACTCCTTGTAGGCCGATGGTATCGGACCTTTTTCAGGTACACCGTGTATATGACGCCATCGCCCCTCTCCTCGCCCCATAAACGCCACGTGGGCTATAACAGCAAAAGATCGAACATTGAACTTCGTCATGAATAATCTATAGTGGATGTTCCTGATGACTGATTTAATGGGATCGATAACGAAAAAGCCACATATCGGAGAATGCTCTTATTTTCATGATAAAGCCATCAGTTATCTCCTGCTGCGAATTAATAAATGTAACATAACGATTGAACAAGATAATCTGGAATAGACAGAGATGTTTATTATGTCAAGTAATCAAGATTGACTATTTTAATTACTGCGATTATTATTAATATTATTCGGTAATAACTAAATTTAGTTAGAAAAATAAAATTTTCCACAAAATTATTAATAATATTGGCGTATTAATTAACGCAATATTATATTATTAATAATAAATTGTTCCATCTGAAGATTAACTTTACATATTATTGAATATCAATTTTTTTCAGATACGTTCTGTCATTTCCAGCAAGTTTTTTCATAATCTTTCGAATTATTTAAAAAATAGTTATATCCATTATAACAATAAAGAATATTTAAAAATAGAATCATTAGCAAAAATAAGAATAAGAATAAAACAGAAAAAGAGAAGAATAAGAAAAGCGCTAAAAGTCAACGATTAATATCTCTTTATTACATTGAAATTATTAAAAGTAAAAAAACTATAAATTTGTTTATTAATCCTTAACTTTTGATTTAATGAATAAATCATAATCATGTTCATGATTAATAAATATGTGTTCACTAACGTGTATATACATGCAGACCTATTTTTTCACAGTAAGTTTATGTCAACTAGTTTACATAATTATTTTAGCTTGATAAAAACTTTTATTACGCATAACATAATGACATAATGCATATGATAAACGTAAAGATAATTATTCTTTGGCGAGGTCTCGACTTATTATGACGAAAAGAGATCGTAATTAGCGGTGTTATTTGCAAAACGTTTCTAAACGTCATAAATAATGATCGTTTCTCCGAACAATTAAATATTAAATTAAGCTATGATAAAAATTCAAAAATGTCACGGATGAAAATGTCAATATATTCATTAAAAGAATCGAGGATTCAATATGAAACATTTTATAATTAGGAATATGAAACATTTTATAATTTATTAAATTTTTAGAGCATAAATAACATAATTCTATAACATATATTAATATAACAATCTTTCGATCGAGAGGCTTTGTTGTGATTGATTATGGAATAGAAATGGAATGCGATATAGATATTTCGTTCTTGTTTGCTTGGCATTGAAATTCCGTAAATAAAGCAAGTTTCAGAAGCCATAAGGAGCTTAATGTCAGAGTCGGGAGTGACAATGTGCGAATTTGTGTCGACATAAGAGATTGCAACGAAGCCGTACATTCAAATCACACAATCCCAAGTAACGATCAAAGCGGCTGACGGAAAGAAAAGCGTGTCATTGCCACCTCGATTTTTTTTACATCTCTGAGAAAATCTTTGTAGCAAAACGTCTGAAAACTATGAAACATTACATCTGTGTTTTCCTTGTATTTATTAAAAAATAATATAACTTTCTGTCAGATAAAATAATAGTTTAAAAAATTTACAATAATAAATTGTAAATTTTTATGTAGAATTATAAATCGAATTCAAAAAGAATGAATTAATGTTGAGACATAAAGTTAATTGTGAAATCATAAAATAAAATAATAATTAATTTTTGATAAATAGGAAAGTTAAAATGCACACAAAATATCTATCTCTTTTTTGGCTATAATCAAATTGCTTTTCTTAATAGAACATTTGATGTCAATAAATTAAAACCAAGTCCTATTTATTAAATATTAAATTTGTTTTATAAGTTTTAATCCGATATAAATTATTTCTGATCAATTATACGATCCAATTTAATCAACGTGACAAAAGTTTATTGCGTTAGTAATTTTCAAATAAATGTTGACAAAAAAATTATTCTTTTAAAAATTTAATATTTAAATTAATTAATTTAAATAGATAAATTTCTCGCGCAATTTTAATATTATTTAGTAAAAATAATCTTAAAAGTTTAAAACAGTGAGAAATTCGATTTTGTCGCGGTGCGGACGAGACTTAAAAGAAGTTGGGGAGGACCTCGAGTCCACCCGCTCATGCCCCGGAACGGCCAAGCAATTAGACTCACTCGCAACAGGAACCCGAGCGTGACTCGAGGTCCTCGTACCTGTGCTCGTCCTTGGGAATCGCTTCCCTCGAGTGTCGATTCACCATTGTTCCACTGTAAACAGCACGAGCCGGATCTCAAGGCAAGTTTCTTACGCAAAGAAACGCACGGGATACTATTTGATCGCGCGAGACTAAACCATAATTAAGAGAATTTCCGGTAAGTCCTATAGAATTATATGGTATTATTAATCGATTACATTATTTTATTTCAAGATAATACAGAGTTTTTTTCCTCGAGACATTTTCTTCCTCTTCTATTTTTATTTTGTTTTATACATCAATTACGTATGTTAATTTATTATTATATAACAAAAAAATATAATTTTTATTTTGTTCAAAAAGACGCAATACAAATTAAATATATAGTTATTTGAAAATTTTGAATATCTCACACAAGGGAAGCCGATCCAAGTTATAATTTATTTTGAGAGGAAAAATTTTATTGATGCAAAAACTTTTATTTCCGAAGCAGGTAGTACGTATATTTAAAATAAACGCTCGAATTCATAAATATTTGACGACTACCGACAATCAGGAGCAATGACTTCCAAGTCACAAAGTATCCGAATTTTAATGTGAATTTCCGTAAATGGACTAAATATATCAAAGATGTAGAGACACGATTCGTCGGGAATCGATCGTCGAGAACAAATGCAAAATTCACGCGTTCATTGGCCATAAGAAAATTGACGATGGTATAGCTGGATTGTGCATCGTTTCTCAAACATTTGTCGTACAAATGGCGAGTCTAGTTCCCCGACAGCGTCGCGGAATCTCGAAAATGTTCCGTCGAGGTCAACGGTCCGTCTCTCTTTCTCTTTCTCTTTCTCTCTCTACGCGATCCCAAAATATACCCCATTATTCCCCGTCAAATTCCCGCGGAACGCCATCGTGAAATCGGCGCGAAACTGCGACGCGGAACTCTCTTCGAGAACAAACGCAGATGGTTGAATATCTGATACCAGCTGACTAACTTTATGATTTTTATTTATCTAGACTTACGATTGTGATAGTCTAAAACGTGCACATATCTTTTATCTTATCGTTTTGATGTTTTTCTAATAAGATCCGAGATCGATCCCCTCTGAAAACTTTTCGGAACGGCATTTCTGATAAATAATGTACACACTCTATTATTCTATATTTAGGTAGTGATAAAGTCTTATTGATAATAACACAGGAATCAATCATAATTGAGAATTTTGATTTTAAGAATTAGGTTCAATTTTTAATTAATTTTCCAAAGAAAAGCTCTGAATAATGGTTGTACATTTTTTAAATGCAAATTGTTTTCACAGATTAAGTATTGTCGGACGATCTTTTTTCCACTCGGTAGACGATACAGTTCCGATGGCACTCTGACCCTGATTGAATGTTCGGCATGCATGTGTGTATATGTATGAGAATTGGTATATATTCAATGTAATTCGAAAAACACTCATTATTTCCACGGTTTCGGACCTAGAGATTGCGACAATGTATCTATTGCGCATATATAAATCCTGTTTATCATGCATTAATCTAAAGACGATGACGAAAGCAACGAAAAAAATCTCACTTTTTTTCTTCACGTGCACTTAAATAAAATTAATTATTCTTATATCGTAAAAACATCGACTAGCATCTCGATTTCTAGCAAGTCACATGCAGATATACAGAGTGTATCATGACGAAAAATTCAAAACATTCTCTAAATATCAAGTCTTTAGCGCCTTTAATTTTAACTTCGAAAATCTCTCTAAGATTATTTTACTCGAAATTTTATTTAGAAATAAATTTTAATAAGTAAAATAAAAATATAAAAGATTAGGTTTATTAAATGTTATAATGCAGATTTCATTTTTTTGCACTAAAGAATTTTACGATTAATTCTATTTTACTCGAATATGTTTGTCGAGAGTTACATCAAGAGAATATTATACACGATACACTCTATGGAAAATATCACAAAAGATTATATCAAACACACTTAACGACAAAAGCGCTCGTAAATCAAACAAGAAACTAGAAATATAAAATCACGCTAGCACGTACGGAACGAAATGATTTTATCGCGGATTCGATACGTTATCATCTGGTAATCTCGCCGGAATCCACCGACAAGACCACTTGTTCCTTCGAGAAGCGCATCATCACAAAGTCATCAATGAAACGAAGCGGAACGAAGCTCACACGTCATATGGAGGATACACCATCCGTCCGGATGTTTCTTTACCTGTTGCACGTACCACTGGGTGGAACTTTGGCACTTCCGGTGACCGCTGGGTTTGCAGGGTGCGCAGAGCAGAAGAGGAGCCAGTTTGTTTACCCCCTTGACAGGGGGCACAGCGCCGGTCACCGGTGCGGGCGACGCTGTGGGGCTCAGCCCGTCATCCCCCCCCAACACCGGCCACAGCATCCACGTGTTTTACCCTCTATCTCCGCTTTCTTGTCTTCTACTCTCTTCGCTTAGTGGTAGATCTCGATGCCCTCGGTGCCCTCGGTATCCTTTTTTCCCCGCGCTCTTTTCTTCTTTTCCTTCTTCTTTTCCTTTTCTCGGATACTCTGCCCCTTGATACTCTGACTCTGATTTCCTTTCGCGGACGCGATCTTCTTCCGGAGAACCACCAGATGTGGCGCGAGCTCTCGTGACGCCCGTCGCCGGCGAACTAAATCATCTATCGACGTCGCGTCATCACTCGCTGCCGATGATGACATTCGCGCGCGATCGCCCGATCGGGATGCAGGAGCGTATCATCGTGTCGGGTAAGAAACGAGTCTTCGACAGCTGCAGCTGAAGTGCTGAAGTTTAAAGTTTCGATCGATTGAGCACGAGAGGTTCTTGATAATCGAGATTCGCGGAGTCACTTCGTCGTTACTTTGCAAATTAAGTTAAATTATAATTTTGTCATTATAATTCTAGCGTGATAGTCAATTATTGATTTTTCTTTCCTTTTCGTTTGCATTTTCGTCTCTTCATTTATAAAGAGATTTGGATTACAAGTTTCTAAATATTTCTTTATAATTGATTCATTTTTTTATTTAATTCTTTTAATTTAATTTATTTGAAAAATCTGCGTTTTACTATTATTTTAAATATTTAATATTCTAAATATCTAATTTCTTATCGAAATATTCAGAGACAAATCTAAATTATTCATCCTTCAAAATTTATGTAAATTTGAATTTCTCAATATTTCATATGTTCTACATATTAATAATTTTTATTCTGAATATGTTTGAAAAATATATATATATATGAATTAAAATTCTGTTATATTTAAAGGAGATAATCTGAACATTTTCTGCGTTTTAAAATGAATTAATTTAATTATTGATGACGATCGTGAATGAGGATTATGAATATATGATATTTGCGACCCTTTGAGGAACAGAAACATAGTGATACATTTACGCTTATCGAAATTAATTCTTACAATTGAGAGCTTACACGCAGAGAGAAAGACAAAGAAAACAAATTTATAAAGAGCATTTTATTTTGAATGAGAAACACATTTCTGTCTATCAATATATAGCCCTCGGTATTATAATTAATTAAATCTAAAAGGTCGAAGGTGACGTGGAAATATATTTCCGGTATGCGTACCACGTAGGCGGTCATATATAGGAATTATAACAAGATCCTTTGATTGTGCGTTACCTTTCCAGGTTAAAGGGCAACATACGAGGCAGCGTTAAAGCTAAAGGGCGTAGCCCATCAAATGATATTTTGAAATCACAAAGAAAAATATATCGCGAAAACGCAAAGCTTGATTTTTCTTTTTCGTCACAAGTATTTAATTATAATTAAAATGCTCATGGGATAGAATAATATCTATAACAATAAAATACATTATACATATAATATGATATAATTACACATGATAGAATTCATACATAATGTATAATTATTTCGATAAGTTAGAATACAAATTATTATTTAATTATGATAATTATTGGCATTTAATTTATTTGATTAGTTTAATAATTAAATTATTTCTCTTATGAGAGATGAAAATTGTCGTTTTAATAAATCTGCCTGTGAAATATGATTTCAATATCAAGGATTAAATATGTTTAGAACTTTACCATGTGAAAATGACGCATTAATCTTCTCAATTGTCAATTTGTTACATCGGTCGCGTTTCGTTCTACTAATAGGCAATAATCTTCATTCCGTGAATAGACTGTTGAGACTTTAGACGCGATATTTTCATGCAGTAGATTGATTATATATATTTCAAAGTAGAAAATCGAAATAATGCTGATTGTGAAATAATGCTGATTATGAAAAGAAATATTTTTAATCTTTCAGAGGAGATATATTTTAAAAATATAATCTAAAAGAAAAAACGCATATTATTATGCATTGAAGAGTGTACAATTGTTTGAAAAATGTACTCGGGCTATCCATGGAAAAATATATCGAGAAATATCTTGCTCTCGAGATATCTTTTCAGAAAATAGAAAAATCTCCAAGTACTCTGTAAACGTTCTTTATAAAAAAAAATTGATATCACTTAGCATTCCCTTTTATTATGCAAACGAGATAAATGCCGACTTTTGATTGCGAAAATAAAAGGAAAATTGAAAGAGCGAAGAAACATGCGCCTCGAACTCTCCGATTGGGCTTCTCTTTCACTCGAGATAGTCGATCGTCGAGATTCGATTATCGCTCGCGATTTGATTTCGACTGGCGCGAATGAGACAGATGTTCCATGACAGCGAGATTGGCTCTATGGCGCAATACGATTAAGTAGAATGCAAACGACGATAAATGTGTCGATGCCCGTCGACGCCTCTGACGCCTTTCTGACAAATGATAAAACAAACGCCCCGTGCGCCGCCTCGCGACATGACACGAGAAATCAGATCGTTTGTCGCACCTTTCACCTTTTTTCAAAAATGCGATAAGCAAAAATGCCCCAATTTTTATCAATTTCCAATTAAAAGTCATAATAATAATTCTTTCGGGCTTCATTTATCTTATCATAATTATTTCTGAATTAAAGAGCAATCGTGTTTTTTTTTAAATCAAAATAACTTTTATATCTACTTTTCATATTTACTTTTAAGTAAAATTTAATTTTATATTAATTTTAAAAAAATTGTTAAAATTTTATTTTGTAAAAATTTTCAATATTTAAGTATTTCGTTATCTCTTTCTTACGTGCTTATAAGTAATTCTGAGAAAAAATTGCGCTTTTTTTACGACTTTTTTTCCTTCGCGTCATAGCATTTTATTCAGCATAATAATTAAAATTTTTTTTTTTAATTTTCAATTTTTCATTTTTGCTTTATAAACATTAAATATTAGAATAAATGTAACTGGGTCACAGAAATAATTTTAAATTAACTTTTTCGAATTTTTCGGTAATATTTAAAAGATATTGATCGCCGGATTTTGTTTTAATAATGACACATCTCGCGTAGTGCAACACATATCGCAGTCACATAGTACTATCCAGGTTCATCTCTTGAAGAACACATGCAGTTGAAATGCATTATGCAACATAGGTATTGTCCATAAAGGGAGGCAGCGATTCGTTTCGTAGCAGCAGGAAGTGTTTAACCCATGTTAAGCATTTCGCGCTTGTTTCTCTTTCTCTCTCGTTTAATAGCTTTAATGGCGTCGATGTAAAACCCTTCATCCGTGATGGGAAGCAACCTAATTGCTCCCGTTCCTGTGCCGGGCCCTAAGTCCGCCATTAATAATAATAGCGCTTTCTCTATCGTCCCTCTATGCACTATCATATCTATAACACGGATCAACAAATTTTTTTTAGATACTATTGGGCTATTGATTTTTTGCGATATGAAAATATTGTACAAATATGTATAAACGCGTGATATTTGCTTTTGAAGGAATGTCAGTGAACATTGTCAGTGAAGTTAATAACGTTAATAAAAAAATTATGATTTTTTTAAGTAGAAATAAAGATATCTTTTTTAATATTAAGATATAATTCAGGATATATGTCTTTAGTAAGTAACTAATAATAAATAAGTTGTAATAATCATGTTTCTTCGCGCATTTTATATATTTACTTAAAACAAATAATATTTATTTAAATATATTAATCAAATTTTTTCTTTTTTTTTGCATGGAAAATCACATGTGTCAGATTCAATTAACATAACAAACAGGCATATGTCTGAATTGGAAAACGAATACCTAACTAATAGGTTACTCGGTTAGTCATTCGTTACGTTGATGCGTGAGACGCTTACACGTATATATGTATGCGTATGCTCGCACGACTCAACAATAACTGGTTAGAGTCTCTCAAGGTGTTTCTGCGACCAAACCTAATAATGTTATTCGGACAAAATATTCCTACTGTATGATTTTCACTTCTGCCAACACAATATTTGCCGATTTGATTGATCTTGTGAAAAATGCGTGAAAATTTTTCGAAATCTTTAGACTGAAATATGAAACGCGCGTATATTTATGCAAGTATATTGTTTCAACCAAAGTTAAAAAACGATTGCTGCCTCGAATTAGGAAGCTGTGAAATGTATGATCTCGAAATAGCAACGAAATCGACAGCGGAAGTGATATCCAAATGATTACATCGGCCGGGCAAAACAATGCACTAGATATGATATAAAGAATTACACAGAATGAATATGTACACTCGTAAAATTATTTTTATGTTTAAAACGCACACAAGAACACAATCGCATTTTATTTAAAAGATTCTAGATCTTTATTAAAAATTTGTGATATATAATAAAACGAAAAAATATCTTTTCTTGAATTTTTATTTCTAACGAGTATAATTTTTGTAATTTTAGATGATTTCCCTATATTTGCTATTAATTATCATAATTTTTTTTATTATTAATTTCATTAAAAAGTCCATGATTATTATTAATATTATATATTCTAGTAGTATCACGTCTCTTTCTCTCTCTTTCTCTCTCTGTTTTCTCTCTTTTCATTAATAAATATTTAAAATTATGAATGAAAATTTTACACTAGTACAGTATTATTAGTATTATGTGATGCGAAAAGTAATAATGACAATAATGTTTCATTGATAATCCATGTAAAATATCGATCGTTCCCAGAGAATAGATCCGATTCCGAAAAAAAAAACGAGTTCGATCTCTTTACAAAGAAAAATGGAATTATAAATTTTTAACTTGCTTCTCTGAATTTTATGAATCATTATGTAGCTGGATCGATTATTAAGCACGAACAAAGTGTGTGCCCAACGCGTGACTCGAGCCGTAATTGAAAGAATAGAACACCTTTTTTGTTCAATAATTTTAATATTAATAAAATTTTTCAAAAATGTTTAAACAGTTTAAAGAATTTCTCGCGATCAGGAAATTAAAAAATTAAATTGATTCTTAAAGAGCAATTTTAAAAACGTAATTTTGTAAATGTTCACGAAATTATCGAATATCACTCAACGAAAATCAGAAAATATACTGATTGAGAATTTTCCGGCAAAGTCCTTCGGCAGAGAAAAATTAGAAGTCTCCTTTGTTTCAATTACAATAGTAATTCTTTGATTTTCAATTACAAACACGCCCGATGATCTCAGCGGCTCTTAATCACCTTCGTTTTCTTAATCGTCAACAACGATGAAGTGACTCTCGCGCGGAATCAAGGGAAGAACAGCTGCTCCAAATTTTGTTACCTGCGGATCGTGATCCGGGCCAGGTGCGAGGCCTGCGTGTGTGATCACCTGAATCGGAATTATTCGAGCCGCGGACTATACGAACTGTTTCAGAAGCGAGAGGCGAAATACGACCGCACCGTTCGCCGTCCCGACGCCAACTGACGC